TTCAAATGTCCCCACGTACACAGTGTCACGGATAAACAATAGAGGAGCCGCGTAAAATAGAGTTGTCGCGCCGCTCTCGTTGCCGGTGGAGCCGCTGTAATTGATTAACAGGGGGCGAGCTGCTACGGGACTCGCGCTGCAGACGTGCCCGGTTGAGCCCGGATGTTAGCTGAGATGAATGACAACGGGAGGCTAGCGCTTAGCCTTTCTTCATTGAGATATGTTTTCACTGAAAACATAAATCTGCTCCGTTTTTCTGATAATAGCCTTTTTCATTCAAACACATCCAGTCTTAATAGATTAAATATGTCTTTACTCTGACACACACACCAACCCTCAAAGCGGGAGAGACCGGTGCCGGCCGGCCGTCTCTCTGGCGTTGTGTAGAAGTATTTGCCCGCCTCGAATAATGTTCCCCTCCGGCTAAAATTGTGTTGTTTCCCGCAGCATCACCTCCTCGATTGGGGATATGTTTATGCGTAGCAAAGCTAACTGCTTGGGGTTAGGGGTGAGGAAGGGTGCACATTACGTCCCCTCCCCGCGAGCCGACACGGGCACTGGGCCCGGGGGGCAAGCCCGGCCGCTAACAAGCCGCCTCTTCCGGCAGCTCCACGCGCTGCAAAGGCTCGGATTGTCCGGGCTCTGGAGCCGGTCAACCTGATTCGAGTGCTGCTGGGAGCCCGCCGGAGGCAGAGCCTCCGCTGGGTCGCAGCCGAGCGGTTCAGCCAGTTTACAATCTGTATTTTCTAAACATCAGACTAGAAAGAGGAGTTGGCTCAGTCTCAAAGAGGCAGATTTAGCTGGAGCAGAATGGTTTTGTTGCGCTGCCACTGGGGGGCGGGATGAGACAACTGACTGATGATTTATGATTGGTTTGGAATTTATTGCATAATAAATCTCAGAGATAACCATGGCCAAATCAAACCCAATTTCAAGAATGTACAAAAACTTAAAAGACAGATATTTCGAATTTGGATGGAAACAGATTTCTAATTGTTTTACATGTTTAATATTATGTACACAAGACCTAAATTACATAGTTAGAAGGCTATTGTGGATTTGGGTTTCCAGAGGCTTTAAGAGGTTATTGTGTTTTGAATGTGTTTCAAATTAAAAATAAAGGGAAACAGTGTAGGAATAACTTGTATAACATTTTTATTAACAAATAGTAATATAAAACCTTGTTTTCCCTGTTTGAGACCTTAAAAAATGCTGCGACTTATATGCCAGTGCGACTTATATTCTCAGTTTTACAGTAATTGTATGACTCCTTTCAGCTATTATTTTATTTATCCATATCTGGTTTTGTAAAGTGTCCTTGGGTGACTTGAAAGCACTTATAAATAAAATGTATTATTGTAACTGCAATTGTACTGTATAGACCTACACTTGTGTAGTGCCTTTCTAGTATTCTGACCACTTAAAGCACTCATTGGCGGCCAAGGCTACTACACCAACTGCCACTTGTTATGCTGTTAACTATTCATATTCAATCACCATTTCATTGCGTCTGGGCATTTAACCTTGTAACCAGTGGTGTAGTGGTAGTTGATGAGATGGGTGCACTACATGGGTAGATTACCGAGGAGGAAGAAGGTATACTCTCCTATACTTTCCAATGGCTTTGGGCAGATAGCCAGGTATACTGTAAACAGCCAGAATGAGAGGTGAGTGTACCCCAGATACCTGTGTATACCCTCAGCTACACTACTGCCTGTAACTCTCCTTGAATGGAGAAGAATAATGGTCCAGAATCCTACCTTCTCTTGTGGGACACAAAGTGTGTCCCCAGTCACAGAGAGGGCAGTATCTGGGTACTTGGTCTGTTGCCGGTATGTCCTGTTCTAATAACTCTGTGTCAGTGTCTGCTTGTGGTGGTATGTATAGTGGAGATGATGCCCAAAGTGAGTTGGTATTTCTAGGGTTATACCAATTGTTTGTCATAAGACAGACTCCACCACCCCTGGATTTGCCAAATTCCTCTGGTCTGATCATTCATGTTGTTCTCCTAGGACTGGATGTTTGTAAGTGTGACACTGGGCTGGGGTTGAAAGTGGGCTTGTCTTTCCCAATGTTTTTTTTTTCTTTTGCCTTCTCTGAAAAGCTGGTGAATAAAGACAAATCCAATGTTCAGAGGTGTGTTGTGAACACATCTAATTCTTGCCCAAACATTGGGGGGTAAAGATGACAAAATGGCCGCACTTAAAAGTAATGACAAGTACAGTCTTTGGAGAGTATCCACAACATTGTGTGGACCCCTGCCATCTTTTTTTCCCCCCATTAATGTACATATATAATATATCACCATGTCTGTGCTTAAATGGAAGTAGGATGAGGGAGGAAAAGCAGAGAGGGAAGGCACTCAAGTCAGATACTGTTTATATTATAATTGATTCTAATCAATTATGAAATCAAAAGTATGCCAAACAGATGGCTGGGATAGAATCAAGTCAGCAGGTAGACGTGGGTTATGTGGTGTCGGGGTTCAGTATGAGAGATGGCTCCCAGACAAGAGCTTATTCATATTATTCATGTGTCCAGGTTGATATTCAACCTGTTGTAGGTTATCTCTGAAGAGGGATGCAGGGTCATCACATTCTACCTTGAAGTCGGTGTCATTGAAATATATTAACTGTTTCATTAATGGTTAACCAATGGAGCCAACTATGACTTGTTTATGGGTCCTGTAAATACAATATTGTAAAATAACAGTACTTATCAAATAGTTTTGCAATAAGTGAATGGTTTGGTGGGACGATTACCCACACAAAAAGAAAAGAAGACTGGATTGATGTAAACAGTGGGTCACACCATTTGTCAACAGTTGTCTGCAGTTGCCCCTCCAGCACACACACACACACACACACACACACACACACACACACACACACACACTATGAATGTTTATAATGATTGTGCTTCCATAAGACCATGTACCTTTTACCAAAATTCATTAGGTCATTAGTTCACCACATATGAAGAATTAAATCAAATCAGGCCAATCAGGTCCCCTGCTGCTGGCTTCCAGGGTTGGACATCAAGATAATTAATCATTAATTGGCAAATATAATTCTATTATTGGTATTTTTGTTTGAGCTCCATAAAACATTTAAATGCAACTTTGATCACTCAATCTTGCTTTATAATTATCAATCACTCAACTACTTTTAATGCTATAAACCTCCATATCTATTCCAGTGGCACAGTCCAGGCTCCACAGCATGATGGTTACATAACTACATAATTATTAAAAATTAATGAAAATTGTCTTTTTCTGTTGGGTCAGGTTCAGGTGTAGAGGCTTTCTGCTAAGACAGGGTGCTGTTGGGTTAATGTGTACAATTAAACATTCACCTGGGTTATCTTCCATGTCCTGCCCACCTCACAGTTACTTTGACTGACAACAGCCTCCCTCTCACCATAACTGAGACATACACTACGACTGAGACATACTCTCTATGCCCAAACTAACTCCCAGGATAAGTGCTGTACTTGACCATAGTCTTTTTAACACCTCCTCTTTTTAACAGAAAATTGTTTTTATCATTTAAGGACTATATACAATGGGGTGAATAAGTATTTAACACATCAACATTATTTTCCTTAAACATATTTCTAGTACAGCTATTCACATGAAATTTACACCAGACACTGGAATTAACTCAATAAACTACACAGATAAAGAAATCATAACATTTCAAGCCATAAATGGGTATGAGAAATAAAGATGAATAACACAGGAAAAAAGTACTGAACATGCCAACTGAAATGTATTTAATACTTGGTGGAGAACTTTTGTTTGCAGTGCCAGCGTTTGCTTCCTGTATCGGGTAATCGATCTGTCACAGTGAATTTTGATCTTCAGCTTCTTCCACAAATGTTCTTTCAGGTTTAAGTGTGGTGCTTGACTGGGCCATTCAAACAATCTTTATTTTCTTCCTCTGGAACCAGTTGAGTCTCTTCTTTGCATCACGTTTTCAATCGTTGTCTTGCTGGAAGGTCCAATTCAATTTTTTCAATTCAATTTTATTTATAAAGACCAATATCACAAATCACAATTTGCCTCACAGGCCTTTACAGCATACGACATCCCTCTGTCCTTAGGACCCTCACAGCGGATAAGGAAAAACTCCACCTGTGTCTAATTCTCACCGTCCTGGTGGATGGCAACCTAAAGAAATTTGTGGTATATGGCTCCATTCATCTTCCCTTTTTTTATGTGAATTCTGCTGGTACTACAAAAAGAGAAACAGTCCCAAACGATGATGCTTCCACCTCCAAACTTCACTGTAGGTGTGGTATTATTAAGGTCATATACAAAACTATTTCTCCTCCTAACATTACACGTTGTACTGTCTCGTCTGACCCATGATCTACAGGCTTCTACAAATTTTGTAAAACAAAAATAAAACAAGCTTTTGGGTAAGACTCTCAACTGACTCCAGTGGGGAAAAAATAAAGGTGTCCAAATGACTCAGTCAATCATCAGACTTCAACCTGATTCACCAGCAAACCCAACCCCAGCACCCCCACCCCAGAATCTTTTAGATTTATGGACTGTTTGTGTGGAAGAATGCACCAAAATCCACCTGGACATTGTGAGATTGATTTCTTCTTAAAAGCTGGCATAACAAACAAAGGCTTCTTCACCAAGTAGGCCTATTAAATTCAGTTGGTATGTTCAATTTTTTGGTATTTTGTTTTTTTGGTATTTTCAAGTTTTTGATTAATTAAAATATGATCATTTCTTTATCTGTGTAGGTTTCTTGAGGTAATAGCAATGTGTGGTGTAAATTTCTTGTGTGGAAATACGTGTGTGTGTGTGTGTAGGCTATAATGAAAAAAAATGTTGACGTGTTGAATACGTTTTTCCCCCGCTGTATATTAAAAGCGTTTACAGCGCTCTAAAGTCAAAGGCTCATGGGAGGAGTGGTTATGTAATAACAAATAAAATAAGAATGGTGAGAAGACCCTCCTCCTGAGAGTGACCACATCACAATCACAGTGAGCTAAGAAACGTTATCAGGGCGCACACACCGCGGCGCGCACTGATCCACTTGTTATTCTTGTACTGACTGGTTGAGGTTTGGCTGTGGAGCAGTAACCTGGAGACCTTCTGAGGACGCAGACATGGAAAAAGGAGCAAGACCCAACTGGGACAACCCCATAGAGTTTGTTCTGGCATGTGTATCGTACGCAGTCGGACTGGGAAACGTGTGGCGTTTTCCATACCTTTGTCAAATGCACGGCGGAGGTAAGTGACCGATTCATTTACATAAGAATAGCCTACTGAATAGTGACAAGTTCATGTTTTACCAACGGGCTGTGCTCTCCACCAGTGTGGTTGCAATTTATATAGAGAAACCACCTTCATTTTCAACAAAACTGATTCTCATGTGAGATTTAGCTGCACCTGAATATGACGAGCCTTTTCATTTCACTTCCACACAACACGCCCAGTTTTATTTAATATGAGTGAGAGTGTGGGTGTCAGTGTAAATAATTTACAGTAGTGTGTTATCCTCGTTTAAACCCGAGACCTCACACAATTGTACCTCTGCCTTTTAATATCGAGAAAAAATTAAATCAGTAGTAGTTAGGCTATTCCTGGTACAGGGGAACATATCCTCCGGTTTATTGACTTGTTGCCAGTAATCTGAGTCATGCAGGTGCTGTTTCTGGCGTAAATATGCAAAAAACTGGACTGAATGAGTTAGACAGTCAGTTGACCTATAGTTGAGACTGGCAGTAAACTTATTGCAGGTCATAAACAAGGGTAGAACCGGAATTAGTTGACATTTATACAGCATGCAGCAATATCTACAGACTTTACACTCTGTAGCACCATAGTGAGGTGATAAGAGACAATACACAGTAGTAAAATAACATGAGTACAGAAATTATCCATAACTTCCACAATTTTAGTGGGTTTTCCTCTCAAAATTTCAGCAGTAAACTCTCATACTGCCTGAGTCATTCCAGCTGTTTATTTCTAACTGCCAGAAAGCTGCAGCCCAGAAAAGCCATTTGTTTTTCTACTGCATGAATATGAAATTTGTCAATCTATTCAAAACCCTGTGTCACAGTACAGTATAGTAGTACTGTGGTACAGTAAGTAGTACAACTGTAAAAAGGTTGCTGTAAATTTCACAGCAACTTACCGGCAGCGGGATGCCAGTAAGTTACTGTTTTTGTTGTTGTTGCTGTTGTTGTTGTTTTTACTGTATTTTAATTATTATTGTATTGTATAATTTTTTGTAGGATTTTTTATTTTTTGGTTTCAGTTTACAATTAGTTCCAATAACTTTCAACAAAGTCACAGTCCATGACTGAAATGAAAAATTGCTAGCAATATGTTCCTGTCAGAGGGTCGCCAAAATGTTACAGTTTATCCTGATGGGAATATGAATGTACGAACCACATTTCATCACAGTCCATCCAGCAGTTGTTGAGATATTTCAGTCTGGACCACAGCAAGTGTCCAAAGCCAGAAAAATGCTCCAACATCCAGGCTGATGTTACCAAACACTCCTCTGAGAGTGCTGAGCCACTGAGAGACACACACACAGTCATTACTACCCACTAACATTAGCAAGATGAAAGACCACTAAAGATGGAAAAAAATATGTCATATAATATTTGAGGACAGCACGGTGGTGTGGTGGTTAGCACTGTCGCCATGGGAGCCCTTCTGTGCGGAGTTTGCATGTTCTCCCTGTGTCAGCGTGGGTTTTCTCCGGGTACTCCGGCTTCCTCCCACAGTCCAAAGACATGCAGGCTGGGGACAGTGTAGGTTAATTTGTGACACTAAATTGGCCGTAGGTGTGAATGTGAGTGTGAATGGTTGTCTGTCTCTACATGTCAGAGTGTACCCCGCCCACTTGCCCAATGTCAGCTGGGATATGCTCCAGCCCCCCTGCGACCCCCAAGAGGATAAGCGGTTAGAAAATGGATGAATGGATGGGATGGACATAATATTTAAATAATATTTTGGTGGTATCAAAGACCAGTGCTAGATAACATTAATAATCTTTATGTAACTTAGCTGAATTAAAGGAATACTTACCTTTCTGGACATTTTAAGCTTTTCTTTGTTTAGGTTAAAATGCTATTAATAAGCTGATGGCACACTAAAATGTAAGTGAATTCCACCAGAGATAAAATCTCATAATTGTACCATATGGTTCTAAGAAAACTACGACCAATCATTGCATTCGGACAGACCAGGAAGAGTCTGTGAGACAACAAATACGCTCGTAACAGGGACGCTTGTGGATATAAACCTTCCGTAACAATGGCAGATAAATGCGGTTCACCGCTTCCACCTCCAGCCGCTACAACATGGAAGTCAGTTCAGTGGTGGTTCTAGGCCAGTTTCAATGGGAGGGCCAAGCTAGGGCCAGTCCTTTTGATACAGGGGCACATATAAGTAGGGTCAAATATCTAAGTCTGAACAATAAGATATATATGTACATATATATATGTATATCAGTGTTTCCCACAGGATTTTTGGAGACTACATCCAACCTTGTAGGGGGGTCCGGGGGCATGCTGCCCTGGGAGAAAATTTTGTATCTATTTGATTTAAAGGCATCAATCTGGTGAATTCTGAGAGCCAAGTTATGATGGCAGAATATGCCTAGATGTCAACATATTTGTGCTTTTTATATGTGAAAAATGTTCTATTTTTACTGATAAAAACACTAGTGGTATGTTATGGTGAAGGGTTACACTTAAAATACGGCTAAGTATTAGTGGTTTAACATTTCAGTAATCAAAAGAAAAATGACTAACGTCCTAATGGAGGGCTATTTTATTATTTTAAAGCATGTGCAGACAAAATATTCTTTTAAAACTCTCTCACTCACAAACACAGTTATAGATATGCAAAACAATACAAAATACGCAATACGAAAAGAAAACAAAAGGTAAGACTTAAATTAATTACACACAAACAGACACAAATTACTGCTTTCCTCCCTCCCTCACGATTTGCATTTAATTTTACGCGGCTTCAAAAAGAAGATTTCAAAAGCCCTCTGGTAGTTGAATGCCTCCGGGACAGGCCCATTTATGGCAACCCACTGGATCCATGGTGTGCACGATCCGGCCGAGGCGCGGGTGCCGGAGCTAATAGCGGCCATTCAAGTCCATGTAAGCTGTAAGGTCCACCAGCCACGGCCTAGAAGCGGCTCGGCGCTCCGCTCCGCTAAAAACACACGCCGGGTCTATTTCTGATGGACGCCGCGCTACGGCACGTCAATTTGCACAGACCAGATGAGTCAAACAGGAAGGCAGGTGCAGAAAAGACGAGAGTATCTGGTCAATTTTCACAATAAAACACCCATGAAAACTCTGGATCGTATTTCACATGGCTACATCAACATGATGTGACATGCAACTACCATGAGCCAAATGAGAACGAGAAAGTTTTCAGAGCTTACTTCAATGGTGCTGTGTGTTGCCGTGCAGGTTAAGAGTTGTCTTAAATACAGCCGCACAATTCTCTACTGATGTTTTCGGTGGGTGCACCGCTTTAAATGGTCCGACCGTCAACTGGTTGAGACGATTTAGTTCCGCGTTCCACGTTGCCCAGTGGAGTGTAAACCAAATAAAAATATCACTCTCAAAAAACCAGAGCAGAAAACAAATAGTCAGTTAACTAAATTGACCGCTACTCTTCCTACCCTCCGTGTGTGTCTGCCATCTGCATGCTGGCCTGGTGGATTGATAGTAAGTGCTGGAGCGGATCACTGGAATGGACTGCTTGAATTGCGGAGCGCTGGGCTGGCCAGAAAATCTGGAACGGACTCTATGAAAAACTTGATTGGAGTTCTTGGATCGGCATTTTTCCATGCAGTCCGATCCGATGCCGATGCACGTTTTTTGCTAATATTGGCTGCCGATACCGATCGGCAGCCGATATTATATAGCGGACATCCCTACTTTTCACAGCACACATTTTGACTTGTCATTGTAGGACAAGCACAGGTGAAATTGTTAACATTAATGATGGCTCAGTTTCATTAAGTGTCCCAGTAAGCGGTTCCAGTGAGCCAGCATGGACAACACCAGGACCTCTTCTAAGTGAAATGCAGCTGTCATTAATGTTATTGAATACACCTGTGCTTCTCCTACTCTGTCATTTCACAATATCTGCTGTAAAAAGGTCTGTTGGTCAGTTTCTAGTGGGCAGGCATAGTACTGTAAGTTGATTCACAGTAAAGTAGAACTACAGTAGTGACCGAGTATTTTCCCACAATGCTTTGCTATTTACAGTATCATATTGTATGCACTGTTCACAGTATCTTACTGTACCGTAAAGTTCTGTTCAGAATACAAAAACTGGTTACATTGCAATTTGTCACTAATAAAAAATGAGTTCATCAGATCTCATTGTAATAAATACAGAATCTTTGATTCAAGTTATTGATGAGGGGGTCATTTGAAACTTAGATTTTCTTCTTGCAAATATACCTCTTTTTTACTTAAAATATAATAACGTATAATAAAATATATAATATAAAATAATAATGCAATTTATTTATATATATAGTCTAGAAGATCCACTCCTTCAGTTAAAAGTTTGGATTTTTCTCCGCAAACTCAACATATTACATATATGTAACATATTTGTAACATATTACAAAAGTGTATTGCTGCCACACTAGAAAAAGAAAAACAGATCAGTATCATGTTATAACGTGAAAAGTTTAGTGTTTTAATGTTTTTAATGTTAATGTTTTTACATTATAACAAGATATATTCATGTTATAACAAGATATTTTTAAGTCATTCTGACATACAAAATTATCACGTAATAACAAGAATTTTTCTTGTAATTGCAATATACTGATATTTTGTTATAATATGAAAAGAGGGATGAAGGAACTGAGGGGGCTGTTGAAAACTGTGATGGACCAATTTTTATTTTCCAAAATAAAGTTCATTGATTTAATCTTGTAATTACATAAGACATTCAAAAAAACAACAATAAGGCTACTGTTTCAAAATCAAAGATTACATTTATTAATTAGAGCACCCACATAGGAGCATAGCTCTAGCAGAGCGTGAAATTTATTTTGAATTCATGAACTATTCTCTGTCTGATCAGCTAAACTAAGTGACGTATTACTTCTGTCTGTCCGTCTATCTGTCTATCACTTCGTTTCAGTGCCGCATCTACACAGAGCAACCAGCTGTCCATGGTTCCAAAACAACAGCAAAGATAATCACATGTATCTGGCTGGTAAT